GTGTTGGCAATTATATCGTGTAAAAAGTCTTTGTGTAAAACTAGTTCACTATTATTGTTATCACTGGAGGTGTCCACAGAATTGTCGCTTTCATTGCATTCATTTTGTTTGAGTTTATTTTCTCGGACTAATTGTCTTCGTATCCTATTTTCCTCATCATTTCTGATAAACTCCTAAATTATCAAAACAATTGATTAAAAATTATAAGTAATATAATGAATACCAGTATAATATAATACCTTTTTCATTCCGATAGCAAAACATTTTTTTAGTCGACATTTTTTACATGACTTTCTCGTCTCCAAATTTATATGACAGTTGCCTTCCGATGGACACTCGAGTGGCTATGATTGCAATCAATGTATAATTAATTATTTATATTAAAAGTTATTAAATTAATTTCCAATCGCTTTTATTTACTGTATTTTTGACGGCAGTCCTCCGAAAGAATTCTTTACACGATTTACATGTAATGGCGAAGAAGTTTCTACCTAAATATAAACAGGCACAGTTAATTATTTAATTAAATTATATTTAAATTAGAGTTCATACATACCAACTCCTTTATTGTCACCACATACCTGGCATATTTTGTTTACTTTATTTGTAGCCAACATTGTCTATATTATATTGCAAACTATTATTTATTAAAATGATTGCAAATTGGTGAATCCATAAAATGTGATACTAGCTTATAATTTCTTATCGCAAAAATGTTATGATAACAGTGTAAATAACAGCAAAATGTCCACAAATTCGTTAATTATATATTTATATTGAAGTAAATTAATTTGTTAGTTAGAAATAGTTTGCGTATTAAATTAAATAAACCTTATATACAATTAACTGCCTCAATTAAGAAATAAATTGTCAAAAAAGGTTGCAAACAAACTCCAAGGTATTCTTTCAAGGTTAAAATATTATACTTGTGTTCTCTAATATGAATACAATAGCAATAGTTTTATTGTAAACTATTCAATAGTTTTTACTTATTAAGTATTATTATCAGCAACTATGATGCAATAAGTGAGCAAACACCACCAAGACTTACATAAATTTTGAAATTTAATTAAAACACGTACCCAATGAAAAATTGCTAATTATAATTTATTATATAACTCATACATATTTTAAAGTTTGATTGTTTAATATTTTATAAATACTTATGTTTATTAATAAAATGATACAATGAATATCTATTTCCTTTATAAGTACAATGAAATAAATGAATGTTTTAAATGATGAGTCTATATATCATATATTTCTCTAAGAAGTGGTCCACAAGAGTCTATATTTAGTCTGATATTCTCGACTTCATTCACTTTATGGACTTCACTCACGACCTGTAGTTCACGCAATGAATTCATAAATCGCTGTAATTTTGTTTGCGATTCAGAATCGGATTTGTATTTTAAAAGTAGATATCGTTGTAATAAATATATATACAATTACTGTTCCAGTCTAACAAACAAATAATCAATTAGTTAAAGTTAAATCGTCAAATATTTAAACATTTAGTAAACATAAACTGGTAAACTTAAACATACTGTACGTAACGCCTGTGCGTTAGACTAGGTCGGTTTGGGTTAAACAATATGATTGCTGTTAACTAGTGTTGAACACAAAAATTAGTTAATTGTTTAATATTGAGTATATTTACTAAAATAGATTCATTACCAAATCAATGACAACCAGGTCACTATCCCATTCAGTTAATAAGTTCACATAAAACTTTCCGCTTAAATCAAATAAATTTCTTTTATATATTCTGAATAAATCCACGCTAAATACCAATGAATTATTGTCATCCTGGTAATAAAATATATAAAATTAATTTTAAGCTACTATAAAAAACTCAGCTTAATAACTAATAGTAGTAATTAGTAATTACCATATGAATAGTAAAACTAGCATCGCTAACATTAAAATATGTGAAAAATCTGAGCGAGAACATTTCAGTGCAGCTATTCTTGACGAGTGAATACTGATCGTCCGGACAGGTGGCTGTAAATGAATTCAACATTTTTGTGAAATTCACAATTTTTCTGAACTGCTGCTCATATTGCACTGTAAGCATGTAAGCCATCAGTTGTTTGCTATCAGTTATCTCAACGAAATTCTTGGTCGTGTGTGACTTGAATATAGTGGTGGCGCTCAGTAGCTCAGATATCCGGCTGAATTCAAGTTGATTTAAACCTTTATAGTCAGTGAGTTCACGGAATACAGGTTTTATCACAAAATTCTGTGATTTTCCAATTGTGTGGTCCAATGATAACTCATTTTCATCACTGGATTCATGCAATTCTGTATCATTTGTGACATAACTCTCAATCTCTGAGATCTGATCCGTCAGGTCTTCATCACTCAACTCCAATGTGTTGGCAATTATATCGCGTAAAAAGTCTTTGTGTAAAACTAATTCACTATTTTTGTTATCACTGGAGGTGTCCACAGAATTGTCGCTTTCATTGCATTCATTTTGTTTGAGTTTATTTTCTCGGATTAATTGTCTTCGTATCCTATTTTCCTCATCATTTCGTATGAATTCCTATATTAGTTAAACATATTATTAATTAATTTAATAAAACTAAACTAGGAACTATTATTATAATACCTTTTTCATTCCAATAGCATAACATTTTTCTAGTCGACATTTTTGACATAACTTTCTCGTCACTGAATTTATATGACATTTGCCTTCCGATGGACACTCGAGTGGCTATGATTGCAATCAATGAATAATTTATGTATTAACTTATACACTGGTATTAAATAATAATTGTATATTTACTATATTTTTGACGGCAATCCTCCGAAAAAATTCTTTACACGATTGACATGTAATGGCAGAAAAATTCCTGCCTAAATATAAACAAGTACAGTTGTCATGGATAATTAAATTAACGTATATTTAAATTAGAGTTAAACGTATTGAAAACTTCATACCGACTCCTTTATTATCGCGACATACTTCACAAATTTTGGTCACTTTATTATTAGCTAGCATAGTTTATAAAATATAATGTTGCAGACTATTTATTTATTAAATTGATTGAAAATTGTTGATTTCATTACATGTGAAACTATCTAATAATTTGTTATCAACAAATGTTATAATGTTATGACAACATATAAATAGCCAAAAAAAACTGTCGACCAATTCATAAATAATAAAAACAATTTCTTTGAAATGATTTAGTAAAACAACTTGTATTGATTCAAACAATTGCATAGACTAACAATTTAGAAATAAATTATTAATGAAAGTTGCAAAACTAAATACAACCTACTAATATTATTACTTAAGCCTCAAAGGTAGCTATCAAGGTTAAAATACGTTTATAATAAGGTGTTCTCTAGTAATAATACAATAATAACAATTATAATACTGTAGACTTATTCAATATTGTGATTACATGAAAAAATGATGAAATGAGTGGTACCATTGAATCAAGTAAATAGACAATTATCTTATACTACAGAATTCAAGTAGACATCTCGGAATAACACTGGGAATCATACATTCCTTCACAATTATAATTACATAGTTTTAAAAGTCAATTGTCTTTCTATTATTATATCATACAATTGATTTTAATTTGAATTTAATTATAAGAATATTTATTGTAGAAAAATTAAGACAATTTATAGTTTGGTAGTTTATTTACTTGTACAAATAATTCCAAATATTATAAATAATTAAGTATGTTATCTAAACCTTTAATATAAAATTTAACATAAATATAGAATCATAACACTTTAGAATTAGCATATTAATTAAGTTGCCTGTACAGTAATTATTCTAATTGATGCAAGTCGTAGACCTCGCTCAAAAGTGGGCCATAATATTGTAGTAGAGGTCTACACTCGTAAACCTCTTGCACTTCGCACTGTTTATGGGCTTCGGCTGTAATCGTGAGGTCTGTCAACGAAACCATTAGTTTCTGGAGTTTTGATTCCGACTCCGGTTGATATCTCAATAGTAAGTATCGTTGCAATAAATACACATAAAGTTGTTGCTCCAGTCTGTTATGAAAATTTATTTATTGGTAAAATCAATGTTAATAAGTTAAATATAAATATTATTACGATGGCTTACTTGATACTTTGTTTGTGTGTTAGGTTTGGTCGCTTAGGGTTCATAATTACGATCGCAGATAACTAGGTTTGAATTAATTATAGAAATAAGTTAATATACTAACTATAAACCGTATAGAATATAAAGAACAATAAACACCACATATATTTTCATACCAGGTCAATTATAACTTGATCATTATTCCATTCTGGGAAGAATTTATTAAGAAATAGCTTCAATGGATAATATGTTTGCATCCTATGCTCTTTGAAATCCTCCAAACTGACCTCAAGTGTGCTATTATCAGTCTATCGTAAACATATTAATTTCAGTAAATGCTAACCTTTTAAAAAATAGTTAATACACTCACTAATGGGAACTGATATTCTTGAGTTTGTTTGTTGAAATACAGTAGACTTCTGAGAAAATTTAATTAAAACCCGTACCCAGTGAAGACTTGCTAGTTATAATTTATTATATAACTCATACATATTGTTAATGTTTGATTGTTTAATATTTTTATAAATACTTATGTTTATTAATACAACTGATACAATGAATAACTATTTCCTTTATAAGTACAATGAAATAAATGAATGTTTTAAATGATGAGTCTATATATCATATATTTCTCTAAAAAGTGGTCCACAAGAGTCGATCTTTGGTCCGATAGTCTCGACTTCATTCACTTTATGGACTTCACTCACGACCTGTAGTTCACGCAATGAATTCATAAATCGCTGTAATTTTGTTTGCGATTCAGAATCGGATTTGTATTTTAAAAGTAGATATCGTTGTAATAAATATATATACAGTTGCTGTTCCAGTCTAACAAACAAATAATCAACTAATTAAAGTTAAATCATCAAATATTTGTAACTGGTAAACTTAAACATACTGTACGTAACGCCTGTGCGTTAGATTAGGTCGGTTTGGGTTAAACAATATGATTGCTGTTAACTAGTGTTGAACATAATAATTAGTTAATTGTTTAATATTGACTTGTGAGTATATTTATTAAAATAAATTTATTACCAAATCAATGACAACCAGGTCACTATCCCATTCAGTTAATAAGTTTACATAAAACTTTTCGTTTAAATCAAATAAATTTCTTTTATATATTCTGAATAAATCCACGCTAAATACCAATGAATTATTGTCATCCTGGTAATAAAATATATAAAATTAATTTTAAGCTACTATAAAAAAACTGAGCTTAATAACTAATAGTAGTAATTTGTAATTACCATATGAATAGTAAAACTAGCATTGCTAACATTAAAGTATGTGAAAAATCTGAGCAAGAGCATTTCTGTGCAGCTATTCTTGACGAGTGAATACTGATCGTCCGGACAGGTGGTTGTAAATGAATTCAACATTTTTGTGAAATTCACAAGTTTTCTAAACTGCTGCTCATATTTCACTTGCATGTAAGCCATCAGTTGGTTGCTATCAGTTATCTCAACAAAATTATTGGTCGTGGATGATTTCAATATAGTGGTGGCGCTTAACAACTCGGATATCCGGCTGAATTCAAGTTGATTTAAGCCATTATAATCAGTGAGTTCACGGAATACAGGTTTGATGGCAAATGTGTGCGATTTCTCCATTAGTCTATCCAATGATAACTCATTTTCATGACTAGATGTCTGTATTTCTGTACAATTTGTGACATAACTCTCAATCTCTGAGATCTGATCCGTCAGGTCTTCATCACTCAACTCCAATGTGTTGGCAATTATATCGTGTAAAAAGTCTTTGTGTAAAACTAGTTCACTATTATTGTTATCACTGGAGGTGTCCACAGAATTGTCGCTTTCATTGCATTCATTTTGTTTGAGTTTATTTTCTCGGATTAATTGTCTTCGTATCCTATTTTCCTCATCATTTCGTATGTATTCCTATATTAGTTAAACATATTATTAATTAATTTAATAAAACTAAATTAGGAGCTATTATTATAATACTTTTTTCATTCCAATATCAAAACACTTTTTTAATCGACATTTTTGACATAACTTTCTCGTCACTGAATTTATATGACATTTGCCTTCCGATGGACACTCGAATGGCTATAAATACAATTAATTTATAATTAATTATTTATATTAAAAATTATTAAATTAATTTCCAATCTTTTTTTACTGTATTTTTGACGGCAGTCCTCCGAAAGAATTCTTTACACGATTTACATGTAATGGCAAAGAAGTTTCTGCCTAAATATAAACAAGCACAGTTAATTATTTAATTAAATTATATTTAAATTATGGTTCATACATACCAACTCCTTTATTGTCACCACATACCTGGCATATTTTGTTTACTTTATTTGTAGCCAACATTGTCTATATTATATTGCAAACTATTATTTATTAAACTGATTGCAAATTGGTGATTCCATAAAATGTGACACTAGCTTATAATTTCTTATCACAAAATGTTATGATAACAGTGTAAATAACAGCAAAAATGTCCACAAATTCGTAAATTATTTATTTATAAGTGAAGTTGATTACTTTATTAGTTAGAAATAGTTTGCGTATTAAATTAAATAAACCTTATACAATTAACTGTCGTAATTAAGAAACAAATTATCAATAAAGGTTGCAAACAAACCCCAAAGGTATTCTTTCAAGGTTAAAATATTATACTTGTGTAATATTATGGTGTTCTCTAATATGAATACAATAGCAATAGTTTTTATGGTACTTATTCACTATTATTATCAGCAAATATGATGCAATGAGTGAACAAACATCACCAAGACTTACATTTTTGAAATTTAATTAAAACCCGTACCCAATGAAAAATTGCTAGTTATAATTTATTATATAACTCATACATATTGTTAAAGTTTGATTGTTTAATATTTTATAAATACTTATGTTTTTTACTACAACTGATACAATGAATAACTATTTCCTTTATAAGTATAATGAAATAAATGAATGTTTTAAATGATGAGTCTATATATCATATATCTCTCTAAAAAGTGGTCCACAAGAGTCAATATTTGGTCCGATAGTCTCGACTTCATTCACTTTATGGACTTCACTCACGACCTGTAGTTCACGCAATGAATTCATAAATCGCTGTAATTTTGTTTGCGATTCAGAATCGGATTTGTATTTTAAAAGTAGATATCGTTGTAATAAATATATATACAATTGTTGTTCCAGTCTAACAAACAAATAATCAATTAATTAAAGT